CAAAAATAATAAAAAATACTTTTCACACCGACACCTTTTCAAAAAGCTTTCGAAAGCAATTTTTCAAACCCTCTTGGGGACCGATACAAGAGTCGAACTGAAATTTTCAAAGAAACTTTTTAAAACCCACAGTTGAAAAGCAAACAAACCATTTTTGAAAACACAATGAGCAAGTATCTAAGAGCCCATGGATAACCATGGATAGAAAGGGTGCTAACACCTTCCCTTTCTATAATCTACCTCCCGAACCGAGAGCAATCTCTTTAAGGAATTTTTCTGTGCTTTTGTCCTTTCCATTTGGAGAAAATAAAAGACGGTGGCGACTCTTGCTTCCGCGACATTTCGCGAACCAGCGGTAAACAGTCAGTTCCAGATCCACCGATCACACCATGCACCACCTGTCTAACCTTCAACAAGAGTGAAGGCAATCATAAAAACATTATTGTTGCCATCTTGTGCCACTGCCATGAGTAACATTCCTTTATACTTTCCGTATAACCAAGTTCCATCAATTTGTATAATAGGTTTACAAAATGGAAAGCCTTTGATGCATGGTTCACACGCCCAAAACAATTGATGAAATATTTCATTTCCACTGGCACGAGTTCTGTATGGGGTAAATGCCAGGGGTGTCTACAAAATTATAACAGTTCCTGGAGCATAATATTTTAGTGCCACCAAAAATCTTGGAAGTTCTTTGTACGATTCCTCCCAATTACCGTTCACAAGTTCAACTGCCTTAGTCCTCGTGATCCATGTCTTCCTATAAGAGGGAGTATAATTGAATCTTGTAAGGATATGAGAAATAATTTTACTCACCTTTAATGATAGATCCTTGCTAACAAGAGGCAATATTTCTTGACATATTAGTTGAGAACTAAGTTTCCGATGATTCTGCGTTGGAACAGTGGTGATGCAAGTGTGGAGTGGATTAATGGTACATATTTCCCATGAATCACTTCTCTTCTTGTAAGATGCAGTTAAACAAAAAGGGAAAATTGGTTTTTGACGACATAAAATAATATACCTCCCTGAATTAGTTCGATCTATACTGAAATCAGCTAAAATTTCCATGGGGTATTTTTTGATAGCTCTAACACACTCTTCTTTTGTACGAAAACTGTCTCCAACTTTGAAGGCCCCTGTGATCTTCATATAAGGACTGTAAAAGATATCTGAGGCTGGTTCGTCTTCCCCCAAATTCATGTTCGTCATGTGAAACAGAGGGTCATATGCATGAATCATAGGTAGAGGTTCATGCTCTTGATCTTCAACGACGTTATTGACCATAAAATCAATCATTGCCTCGTCATCTTCTTCTTCTTGGTCAATAACATCGACTTCGGGGTGGTTGTCCTCGTCAGATTCATCCTCTTCTTCAAAATCTTGAGAAGGATCTACCACCTGAGATTGATCAGGTTGTTGTAATAAAACATACAACTCAATCTCATTGAACCCGGATTGTTCATGAGTTCGAAACATGTTTCAAACATCATCATCGTAGCGCACCTTTAGTTGATAAAATTTGACTTGGTTGTTGTCAAATATAAATGGAGACTTGTAAAAAAATTTCTAAACTGGACCACACTGCAATTTTGCTTCTAGTCTATTTTTGAAGCGTGCAAAACTTGATTTCTTGTTTGTCCGAAAGCGGATAAAATTGGTGTTACAAAAATTAAAACCAGAGTTATCACAGTCGAACGTCTCACTGTTAATATGAGCAACAATACTATAGTATTGTGAATGATCCATATGTTGAGTTTAATATTAATATTAGATTAACACTCTTTTTCCTCTACAATTTGTATGGAGGCCGTATAAAAATCTCGACCATGAGATTAACCCAGAAGATGCTGAAGTCTGGACTGCAAAAACAATGCTCATCAGGTTCACTACTATGGAGATGCACCACAATGATTGTGTGAAGCTGCAATTCGACATGCAACAGGGTATCTCAGACCCCCTACATGTTTGGGACAATGGCATCTACTCAGAGTTGACGAACACTAGGGATTTACTGATTTGAGAGACTTCGCTAGAAATCAATGTCGTCAATGGAGGCATCGACGTGAATTGTTCCTAAGGGAGTCGATCTCGCAAGATGACTTAAAACCAACTCTCCAATATTTGACATGGTACACATCAGTTTCAACAAATTTATTTCTGTCTTATGAGACATATTTGATCGATCCACGCCAAAGAGCTGCATCATACACCCAACAACAACCCCAACATCCAACCCCTCATCAATACCAAACCTAAAAACAATGTCAACCCACTCAAACCCAATAACCATACAACACCACATCCAACCAAACTCGTCATCAATTCATGCCACATACACAAACACAATACTAAGAGCATGACCCGACCCACCACCAACAATATACACCTTTGACATCCTACCACAATACCCAAGATACATATGATACATCTTCTTCCTACCATACCACCAAACCTACATACAGTCAAACATCACACCATCGAAGTACCCAACCATCATACGAATTTCATACACCATAAGAATTGTTACTTCATTTCCAAAATGATTTAACATCCCAATACTATCAACCACCCCATCCACACGTATCCCAACCAACAAGACCAAACTTCAACAACATGAACACCGATCTCTTTGGAAGCACGACACAGTAGGCGAAATGATCGATGGGATGTATGATTCTGATGTACCAGGACCATCACATCAAGCACCTCATCATCAAGCGAGTCAGAACAGACTCCCAAACACCTTAGGGAAATCAACAGAGAGAAGTGAGACAAGGGGTGAGGCAAAACCGGGATCATTTATGTCATGCTGAGACTCGCTTAGCTTGAGATGACGTCCAAAAAAATATGTATTCATGCATTGTGTAATTTAAAATATTAATATAAAATATTTTTTGTTACTTTTATTTTTATTTAAAAAAATAATAAATACAACTGTCAAGCCACACAAGGTGGCGCCTCCTCTCTAATTATACATGCATGCACCCTACTGCATGTCATTACATAGGAGGATAATCCATATAGTGTGGCGTCTCCTCTCTATTTTATATGCACGCGCCACACAGAGTGGCGTCTCCTCTGTGTGTCGAATTTTTTTGTTTGAAAAGTGGTTACTTTGGTAAATATTTTGAAAAACTGGTTATTTGGATTTTTTTTTTTGAAAAAAAATGGTTATTTAAAAAAAGTCTTTTGATTTGACGTCCTTCCGACAATTCTGATAGATAACAACCGTAAAAATTACAACAACAAAAAAACAACAACCCTTTTCAATTCTGAATAAAAAGCACATAACTTTATTAAAACCAAATAAAAATCTAAAAGAAATAAACAAAAAGGTGTTCTATACCCTTGCTATTAACGATACTCCATAAGTCAAGAATACGAACAGTAAGACGTCATGTCTGAAGTTTACAAAAAAAAAAGGCATGAATCACATAAACTAAATACAAAGAAGAACATCAAACATAATGAAAGGAACAACAAAATGATATTGAAATCCATGATTTGTTGCTGCACACTTTTTTTATAAATCTTGATTAAATCAGCTTGTAACAAACTGAAATTTAAGAAGAACAACAATGTGATAAAATAGTTTAAAGAAGAAGAACAACATCGTAACACCTGAATTTTCAGAAGAGCATATAACATATTGAAAACACAAATAACAACAGACATAATCAGATCGCAAGAGGAGAAACAACAACATAAGGACATTTTTTCCAAATAAATGGTATTCACAACTCTATCTATCACTATCTAGTTAATCTTTTGGTACCAATAAACTGCCCACGATTCTGATATCTTTACGTAGATGTTTTAGAATGCAAAGAGTTGTATGGGATGCATATTTACTTTATAGCATATTGGATATCTTTTCATTAAAGTAGAAACCAAAACCATTAGTATCTTATAATGCATCAAATTAATATTAGAGATAAATTAAAACGTTTTCCAAGCAACTAGAAATAATCGATATGTAAATTATTCCAATTTAGAATTTTATGAAAAGAATTAAATAATATACAATAAAGTAAGTTATAAATGCTAAAATATAATTTTACAGCTTTCTAATATATTTTTCGTTAAATCAAATTTTCATTAAATTATAATCTAAAAACCCAAAATCTGAAATAAAATTAATAAAAAAATATAATAAAAAATATAATATGTTGACACATTAATAATATTTAATGCTAAATCAACATGATACAAGTAATATAATAAAAAAATCTCATATAGTTCTGAAATCAGAAAAGTTTAGACAATTAATTAGAGGGTTAGAGAGTTATTCTGGTATTTTCAAATATTTTGATTTTTATAAATTTATAATATATATAATAGATAACACGATGAAAATTCCACGTGTCAGTCATCATCCGGAGTCAAAGTGTCTGAGTATCGGAGTTCAGAAAAGCGAGGGTCAGAATTCACAATGCAAAAAAAAAAAAAATGGAATAACCAAATCAATCTGAAACAACTCTCTCTCTTATCATGAAGAAGAAGAAGAAAAAGAAACAATCAATTCCTCCTCCTTCTTCTTGAAATCACCATGGTACTTGCTTCTCTCTCTGTATTTTCAGTTACATTGCATAAACTATTGAGTAAATTAGGTTACTTTCGATCAACATTGTTTAACCTAATCTGGATATTCAACTTCACCGATCAATGTGTTTCAAGTAACCGTTTCTTTGAAGTGAGTACTGTGATGCAAAACCCACCTTGGCTTCAAGGCTAATCACAATTTCTTATTTTATTTTAATCACAACCTTCAATTTATAGAAAATTAGACTTTAATAGGATAATTAGGATAATTATAAATTATTTTCCATTTCTGCTTATCACATTATACATTCACTCTCACTCTCACTCTCACTCTCACTGAGATTATATATATATATTTTTTGTATATAAGCTAAGTAGCTACTACCTTGTAACCCTTCTCGCCATTTATTGTTAGAGAAAAAGGTTGAGTGACTCGTTGTTCGTGATTGCGAATGACGAACTTCACAGAAAACAACAATGGGAGTTCTTCCTCTTCACCAACACCTTCTGTAGTGCCTCGAGATTTTGATGCTTTTGAAGATTTCTATGCTAATGGAAATTGGAGTTCAAACAACTATGATACCGCCATTGAGATTGATGATCACAGTTCTTCTGAGGATGAACAAGGTTGTTTTTATGTTTGATTTTAATAATGTTTTTCTGTCTCTGAAAGGTATTCTTTTGATTAACAGTAATATAACGAAATTGAAATAAATATTGTTAGTAGTATCGTAGAAATTGAATGCAGATTAATAGGTTTTGTTTGATCTATCTATTTTTTTGTGCTTGTCGTAACATAGGGTATTTCGTGGAATAGATTTAATTGATCGGGATTTCAAGTCTTTGATTTAGCTCAGGATGTCCTCTTTGTCATAGAGATGTCTAAACTGATTGGTATTATCATTAAATCCTCTAATTTAGAGAACTTTGGATGATTTCAATTTGCTAACTTTACCTAAGAAGCTGAAGAGGGCTTTAGCACCATTTTTAAGAGAATTTATTTATGATTTCAAGAACACAAAAAAGGGAAAGGAAAGGAGGAGGACTTTACTATCATTCTTTCTTTCTTTCTTTCTTTCTTTCTTTCTTTTTGGTATTGTGTGAGCTTGTGCATTTGTATCAGTGTAAGACATAGTTGATTTTTCTCTCTCTTATATTTTGAGATGTACTTTGTATGTCATGTAAATTAGAGTTTTTGTGCTAGAAATATCATGCTGACGCTGATCCATTTTGAACGTAAACACGGATATTTCAGAGTTCGATCCAATTGATCAGGATGAGGAGTCTCGATCGGTTGTAAAATGTTCTGTATGTGATTTTGACATCAATGTTTCTGCACTTCAGACATACGGCTCATATACTATGGTATGACCTCCTGGATTTTATAATTTATGTTCAGCAATACTTGTCGATGAGGTATTTTCGGTCTTTGTTAGATTCGGTTTGATAGATTTGATAACTGCACTAAAGATTTTGTTTTTACAAATCAATGCTCTTGCTTAGCTGCTATGCTGCTAATGAAATTGAACAGAAAATTTGTGTATATGCTTGATATAGTGCACTGTCCTGATCTTAATAAAAAGATAAGCATGAAGTAACCATTTTAATCAAAAACTAAGGAACAAAATGAAACACGGCATTTCTTAACATTTATCACTGGTGGATACTTGAAATTTGATATCTTACCGACTGCTTTACTGTTCCTATATCAGATTTGTCCTGTGTGTGAGGAACATTCAAGCTTGCGAAGCCGGCGAAAGGTATTTGTCTCTTATCCTTTGATTTATGTATTTTAATTGAGACATAGCTCAGTTTCAGTGTAGGAGCATTTGATTCTTATCTAACTCAATTCGATATGTTGATATAACTGTATACTTTCTACATAGCGGGCTTGGTACGCTAGGAAACAGAAGAAGTACGGTGCCTTGAAAGTTGATTTGACATTGAATGACAAGAAACCAGCTCCCAGGGAAAATAAACACGAACCATTGTCACCATGTAAGAACAATGTGTATCTTTCAAGCTCTGATGATTTCTTCTCAGATGAAGATACTATCAGCAGTGCCTCCGACACGAGTGTTATTGTAAAAAGGTATGATTCTTATTTTCATATATATATGTTGTAATGGTGGTTTGCTGGTTTGATGAAAAAGAACGAAGTTGAGGAACTTATAATTAAAAGTTAACTTTTTTCCTTTGCTGTCTTTGCTAATCTCCCGTTCTTTGATATGTTGAATATCAAATAAACTCATGAGGGACATAATCTATCTGAATTTAATACCATTGTTGCAACTCATTCATTGTTCTCAAATAATAATGTTGCTTCTCGTATATAAACTAAATTATATGTGGATCTACAAGATCTCACTAGGAGTTTATTCAGTGGTAGATTATAATAGAATCTAGACACTATCGATATGAAAACATTCTGAATATGAAGACTTTCATTCAAAACCTTTGAATAAATTTTGTAGAACTGTGTGATGCCCTCTTTTATTGCAAGAATTACTTGACTGCTAATGTGTTGTGGCACCCTGATTAATATCTTTCTATGATATGGTTTACAATCACATTCTCGTTAGTTCATTCCAAACATCTATGTATTCAATTTTGAGTATTTAGCACACAATATAAAGGCATGGTGTAGACCCTAGATTGAATTCAATATCTTGATTGTAGTATTTTCTAATTAACTACTGAAAAGTACATTCCTAAATACACTCAATGCTGAAAATTTTGGTGATGGTTTTGTGTTTGCAGCGATGGGGAGGCAGATGTACCAATTACCGGCGGAGATGAACAGGATGTTGAAGAGAGAAGTAACAAGGCTGCATTTGCTCAAGAGTTGGTTATCTCAGCTTTATTCTCAGAATAATAGAATAGATAGGTAATTATGCATTGCAATGAACTATTTAATTACATCTTCATATAGTTTTGATGATTGTAAAAATTATAGGCATTGTTTTATTCTTGTGCATGAGTTATTATACAGGATAGTTACAAATCTTTAATATTGGAGGGTGATGTTTTATTTTAGAATTAAATAGAAGAAACAAAAATGTTTGGGTATTAAAAAATCTGACTCGAATATAAATCGAAAAACTAAAGTTTAAAATATAAATTCCTAAAATATTTTTCCCTTTATAAAAAAATATAATTCCTAAAATGCCATTAATTTGTTTATACGTTTATTTGTAATAACTTTTTTATGAAACAAATTCTCATGTAAAACAACATAAAATTTAACATAACTCTTTTCTTTATGAAACTAAAAATGTTAATTTTTGTTTTCTTTTCTCTAGTGGCCAACACATACTTATTGGTGGGTAATATGAAAAACTATTTGGGATACACGTCTGAAAATTTCAAAATATTTTTGAGTTTATTCGGAGATATATCTCCGAATGCATTAAATAATATTTTTTAATAAATTTTAGATCGGAGAGGTAACTGCAATTTTTTTTTAGGTTAATTCGTAAATACATATTTAGAACATACCCCTGAAGCCATTTTTCAATAGTTTCATTTAGATGATTTATTAAATAACCATTCAGTGATATTTTCAGAGATTTATCTCGAAAAATCTTCAGCGGGAAATTGAATATATGAACACTTTGCATGATCATCTCTCTCACACTTCAAACTTCTTCCATAATAAAAAACCCTTAAAAAAGAAATTTCATTTGTAACCTACTTTTCAATTCCAAACCAGCATTCTTGGATTTTATCACATCAAAGGGAGCAAAAGAAGCTGCAATTTAAGGTAAAGTTCATTTATTTCATCCCTCATTATTTGCATTGCCTTTGAGCTGGAAAATGAGCGCTTTGTCTGAATATAGATATCCAAATTCACCTACCATAACTTCGGATGTGTATATTCAAAATTTTCTGTTACCGATTTTTAAGCATTTTTCTGTTTTGATTCTTATTAGATATAGTGCACCCGAATATGTTTCCCATAGCTGGTGTAAGTAACGATATAAAACCGGATGTCGTGAAGGATGGTGTTAAATCGGGTGAAGCGAAACATAATATTAAACATGATGGAGTGAAGGATGATGTTAAACCGGTTCTTGTCGAGATAGATGTTGGTCAATATTTCGTAAATGAAGAACTGTTTACTGCTTATGAACATACACTTCAATGGGTTTACATGGTAGTCAGGAATTCAGGGTTTGACATTGTAATCGGAAGGTCCGACAATGTTTGAAATAGAAGACAACCATTTGTAACCATGAGATGCGAGAGAAGTGACACATATGTTTCCCCGATTCAGAAGTTAAAACATGATGACACCAGAACGAGAAAATGTGGTTGTCCGTTTAAATTGCACGGATATTATAAGGTGGACGAAATGTGGAAATTTAATGTGATTTATGGAATATATAACCATGCTTTGCAAATAGAGCTAGTCGGTCATCCCATCGTATGTAGTCTTAAATCGGAGAAGGGAATTATTCAAGCATGTCTTTTATCAAAGTGGCGCCAAAAAACATACTTGCAGATCTAAAACAAAAACAACTAGAAAGTTTTTCAAATATCAAGCAAGTATATAATGCGTGTTATCGAAACAATATGTCGATAAGGGGTCCAAGATCCGAAATGCAACAATTTTTGAAACTTTTGGATGAAAACCACAATGTTTCTAGGTACACAGTTTGTGATGATAAAGTCATTGTTTGTGACATATTTTGTACTCATTCCGAAAGTATTAAGTTGTTCAATATATTTTCCACTGTCCTAATTATCGATTTAACTTATAAGACCAACAAGTATAGGCTTTCGCTTCTTGAAATTATTGGTGTTATTTCTACATAGAAGACTTTTTTAGCGGGATTTGCATTATTGGAATATGAACAAAGGTCAATGTTACATGAGCCATGGAAATGTGCAAGACTTTGTTGAAGGATCAAGAAAATATGCTGAAGGTAATTGCCATCAATCGAAACATGGCACTAATGAATTCGGTTGCAAAGATGTTTTCTACATTCTACGCATTACTTTCTCGATATCACATTACAAAAATGTGAGGAGTCAGCTCAAACCCGCGGTAGGCACCAAACAAATCAAGGGTGAAGACAAAAAAATAGTCAAAGGAGAGGAGAATCACCAACTTTTCTGCATAGCCCTTTTGAAAGAGTTGACGACACATAGGAAATTCTACACAATGTTATACAGGACAAAAGAACATTTTGATTTAATTCAAGATGCAATTATTCCTTGTGTTAGCGGCCCAACACCGTTTTCAAAATGGATGCGCTTCTCTAATATGAGTCACCTTATAGCAAGTTCATATGACAGAGTGTATATCGATCTGAAAAGATATGGGTTCTCTGAGACATTTTTTCCACTTCAAAGTGGTCTACCTAAAGACCCTTCCGGACGTATCATGTGTATAAGGTGGCTTTCAAAATCGCTACATTTTGTTGAGGTAATTTGAAACATGTATGTCCAATACCAGCTACATCGTTGGAGTTGACGACACATTCAACAAATGAGGCGGAAACTTGGTCGGATCAATTTCTAGATAGGATGGAAGAGTTCACCAAATTGGGCGAGCTTGAAAGAGAATCAAATCAAGAAAAGTCGAAGGAAGAACCAATTGTAGATTTATGCGGTGTTGGATCTTTTGATGCATTTAGATTGTAATCGATATATTTTTTAATGTATTATCGTCAACGATGTAATCTTGATAGCGATTTAATATATAAGTAATATATAACCTCAACAATGATGGTGTAGTTCTTGATTAATTTTATGGTTTGCTTATGGTTCATATATGTTTTCGAAGATACATATCCAAATTAACCTTATCCATTTAAAAAAGACAATCAGTGACGTTTTCAGATATTCATCTCCGAAGTTACCATTTTGTAAAAAAAATTGTGGTTTATTCCGAGATACATATCCGAAAAGACCTGATGACATGATAAGGTTCCTAAGGTAAAGTTAGTCAATACTTGTATAAATAAGGTGTCTCTCGACCCATATTTTCTACACAACACACAAAAACTAGAGAATGAGTTTATATCCCACTTTGCGTTATTGTATTTCAATGACGAGAAGTCACCAATTCCATTTAAGTCTCTTAGTCTCTCCCAGAAATAAATTATCTCTGCTTTAATTAAATCACTTCGCCCTTTCTAAGGCCTCGTTCTTGAGGGATTATTTATTGGAATAATTTTATTGGGGCTAAAAAGAGACAAACCATTATAAAACAATCTGATTTAAGTCTAATAATGTTGGACGAGTGCTTGAAGCACGAGTAGTTTTTCGAAGTGCATTCTAGGTCGCCTGATTGGGCTTGGGTCACAACACCTGAACTAGAATCCAGACATATTTCATTCATCACACATGGCATGCGAGATGTCCAAGGAGTAACGTTCTAGAGATATCAGTCAAAGGGAAAAATGGTCTTCCCCGCGATTTGAGGAAGAACTAGGCTTCCTCTATTCCTACGTTTTTTATTAAGAAATTAGAAAACCATTTCTCTTGCTTTCTAGCTCGATTCATAAGTCTTCTATAAATATCCCAATCTCTGAGTTGGGAGAGAAGATTCACAATTCCACAAAGCAAAATATATAGAGTCTCTCGTAATTCCTACGTGAGCAGATTGACTCTCGCTATTATACTTTCAACAAGTACAATATAATTAAATATATGCTTAATTTCAATTTTGGTCTCCCTGTTATCCTTTTATTTGGGTTTTGGTCCTCTTATTTTACAATATGGAATATTAATTCCTTTATTTTAATTTTTTGAGATTTTTAGTTCTCCTGCAAATGTGAATTTTTTGAGATTTTTAGTTCTCCTGCAAATGTGAAGGCAATTTTTCATGACATGAAGCTCACATTGATGACATGTAGGGGTGAGAATAGGCTGGGCCGAACTAGACTTTACCAAGTCTGAGTCTCACCTACTAAAAAATCCAAAGCCTAAGTCTGGCCTATGGCCTATCATAAGCTTATTTTTTGGTCCGAATCTGGCCTATTTGAAGGTCTGGTTAGCCTATTAGCCTACTTAAAAAGCTTATATCATTTGAATATGTACAAATAAGTAATTCAACTAATATTTAAATATACTAGAGAATCAAAAGTACAATGAGACTAAATGTTTGTTTATGTTGAATTATTTAAGCTTACATAGTAGCATAAGTTTTGTGAAATTATTTTCTTCATTCAACTTGTGAAAATAACTTACAACATTATTCATAAGGTTTTTTCAACTTATTTTCACAAGTTTTTCAAGATAACTAAATTTAACTTTTGTATTTTATATAAATTACAAAATACAATACAAAAAATAATAAATTTATTCATATTTATTAAAATAGGTCAGTCTGATAGATTTAAAAAGCTTTTTTTATGACATGTAGCCTAACCTATTTAATTAAATAGGCTTATAAAAAAGCCTAGGCATTTTCTACTTAAAAAAAACTTGGCTTAGCCCTGACTCATGTAGTCTAGGTCGTAGGCCCCTGTTAGTTGGTCTGACCTATTCACACTCCTAATGACATGTTCAACATAAATCTTAAATAAAAATAGTTTTTTTGAACAGTTCACTGCTGAACTGACATTGACATGTCAACAATGTGAGCGTCATATTATTACAAATTGCCTTCAGATTTAAGGGACTAAAATCTTCCAAAAACTAAAATAAAAGGATTAAAATTCCGAATTTTAAAATGGAGGAACCAAAATTTTAAAAAAATGATAATATAAAAACCAAAATTGCATTAAGCAATAAATATATCTTTTTTATAAATTTTTTTTTAATTTATAAGCAATAAATATTAGAAGTTACACTTTATAAAAAAAGTAAAAAAAAAAACTTTTACAAAATTATTTCTTAAAAAATATTTATTTATTCACTTTCAAAACTTTTGTTTTTGTATATTTTTTTCTTTTATTCAATTAAATTATTATATTAATTTTAAAACGATAAAGAAATAAATAATAATATCAAAATTTATAAAAAGTAATTTTTAAATATTGAATAATAAATACTAATAATAATTTTTTAATATAATTTATTAAATATATAAAAATATTATAATATTTAAGATTAAATGTATTTTGATAATTCTTTAAATTATGAATTAGTATTATCTATTTGTTAAATTATTAATTATTAAGTATTAATTTATAAATAATCAATTTTATTAATAGAGAGTAATATACTAGAATAAATGGGGTGAACACTTCCCTATCATTGAATTTAATTGAATATTGATTCCATCAATTAATCGAATAACATAATTCAAAGCTACATCATTTTTTATTTTATTTTAAAATAAATTAAAATTTTAATACAATTCATATTAATGATATCATAGTGAATTTAAATTTATGGGTACCAATGAATTGACCATGAAACCTAATCATTATAGAGATACATAAAAATGTAAGATAAATTGAAATTTATTGATTCATTTGATAACAATGTATCTTAACTATCGAAGTGTTTACTCATTTCTTTGCTATGTATGATATGATCTCTCCTCAAGTCATAAACCATTAAAAGTCTACTATTTATGGTGGCTCCATTTCTAATACCAAATTGAATAATATTGTTTCCTCATTGGGTTTTAATGTTGGTTCTCTTTGCTTCACATGCATAATGCCTATTTTCAAACGAAAACCTAAAAGTTGAACTTTCAATCAATTATGTGGCACATTCTTCACAAAAAATGCCTACTTGTGACAATTTAGCAGTTAGAGGTTGTTACCTTCTTTCCATGTGCAGTCTCTGCAATGCATCTATTGAATATGCTAATCATTTGTTTCTCAATTTCCCTTTTGCTCTGAAAGCTATGGAGCTGGTTTTAAAACATCATCAAGCAACCTATAGACCTATCTTCTTTTGCATCTCCCTTTGACATTTGCAAAAAAGTTTTGGAGCCAACAATGTGCTTTAGTGATCAATGCCACTACAATTGCACTTTATTGAGCTATATGGAACTGCAGAAACCAGGAGCGATTCAACAAAATTCACTCTTCTATTAATGTCATTGTTGCTAATATTATTGCCTCAGTTTCTCTCATAGGCAACTTCTGTTCCTTATCTATTGGACCTGCTATTTTGGATTTCACAATTCTCAAAGCTTTCCATGTTCAAACTCATCACTTGAAGGAGCCTCAAATTAAGGAAATATTTTGGTTTCCTCCTATGCCTCCTTGGACCAAATAAAAATTTCGATGGTTCGGCTCTGGCAAATCTGGGGTTGTCTTCTTATGCTGGTCTATTTAGGAACAATGATGACAACTGCATTGGTTATTTTATCGTTAATCTTGACATTCAAATCTCTTTTTACGCAGAGCTTATGTGCATTATTCTCGCCGTTAAGAATGCTTACGACATAAATTAGAACCATTTATGGATTGAAACAGACTCAATGATAGACACATTGGCCTTCAAGAATCCAAACATGGTTCCTTGGAGCATTTTTAACGGATGGTGCACCTACATTACGGTTTCAAAGTCGATGCATTTCATAATCTCTCATGTCATCCAGGAAGACAAATAGGTGGGTTGACACTCTTGCCAACATTGATCTCTCTCTTAATACCTACACATAGTGACATACCCCGCCTTTAATTATTAGAAAAAATTAATGATGAACAAGTTAAGTATGCCTAACTTCAGATTTTTCCATTCTTAATTTTTTGCTCGAGACTTCTTATTAGATCGGAACGGACCCTCATCTTTTTTATCTCTTTTTAATACGCGGGGATATATATATATATCCAATCAAATCAATTTAAAAATAAATTTATTATAATATATTAAATCTAAAGCAATAGATTATCCCGTCATGTTACATGTCATAGAACTATTTTTACCACATCAATTAAAATTATAAGTGTCACTCTTAGAATTGAATTTAACAATAATTTTATACAATTGTTCTTCATCACTTCGACTTCTATTCCAAAATTTATATGTTACGATAACTTTATTATTATCTATACATCCTTACAAAAATTACTGATAAATAAATACAATTATCACCCCCCTTAAATTCTTATTTCAATTTTAATAATTTTTTCATTTTCTTTCAATTATATAATTCAAGATTATCATATTTATCTATACTTTGATATATATATATATATATATATATATATATATATATTTTATAGTCTAATATCTCAAAAAAAATATTAATAGTATTATTTTGTTAAATTATAAGACAAACATAAATAAAAATCGATGACACCATTAAAAAATAAATTAACATATATGATTGCTAACAAAAAAATATAATGAAAAAATATTGAAAATTATTAAAAAACTTACTGGTTACAATAATAAATGTTTTAAGTTATGAAGTATAAAAAAATACTAATTAATAAAAAATTTAAGGAAAAAAAATATAGACTATTTCTAATTATAAGTACTTATACTCTATCTACACCTCCTCAATTATATGTATTATCCATAATAATTATAATAATAAATATACTTTAAATTAAAACAAAACACATTAATCAAACAACTAATTCATTTTAGTATGAGATAAAAATAATTGAAAGATGGCAAAATAATTTTTGAATTATTTTCTAAAAAATATTAAATATAAGACAATTATAAAATTTAATAATATCAATAATAAATATCTTAATTTTGATACTATCAACATTACTATATATATATATATATATATATATATATATATATATATATATATATATATATATATATATATATATATATATATATATAAAATGAGTTATATATAATTACAGATACTTATTTCTAATAAAAAATATAAAATAAAAATTTTCATCATAATATAATATGATCACACATTTTTAATATGATTATAATAGAACAAAATTTATAAGATTTTGTATAAGTACTTTCATTTTTAAATTTAAATTTCTTATAAAATACATATAATATATATCATGCCTTTTTTAATTTTTAAAACATATATTGTAGATTAAATCGAAATTAAAAAGTTTATTATATTTTTTTATTATAATTATACAATTTACAACTATTTCGTCTCATTCTTTATTTAGTTTCATATCATAAATTTATATTATTAATTATAATTATAAAATTTAAGGATTAAATTTTTTGTATAATATCATTTAATATATGATATTTTAATATGTGTACTCTCACATCATCTCAATAAATATGATATATATTTTAAATTATTGAATTGTACATGATTTTTTTATATCTTTATCTATATATTTCCAAAAAAAATTAATAAATTATCTCAATAATATTACATATAATTACATAGAAAAGTAAATGTTTGAAACTATATAGATAAGAATAAAAAAAATTATTTTTCAAAAATTCGACATATTTATATTTACTTGATTATCTTAAATATGTAATTTAAAATATAATATTATAAATATAAATTAACTATTCATATTCATTAAAATAAAATATATTAATTACAATTAAAATTTTAATATAAAAATAAATTAATATGCACCCGCACCGGATCCTAATCTAATTTTTCTTTAAAATAAAGATTAGAGTATTATTCTTCGGTTGAAGAAAGAGTTATACGACGAAAATTCCACGTGTCATTCATAAATGTGTAAGAGTTCAGAAAATTGAGTGTCCGAAACTGAGAATGCAAAAGAAAAATGAAGAAGATGAAGAAATGGACATGAATTTCATGCCTCCCTATCTTCTTCATTCCAATCACTTCCTTTCTCTCAAACCCATTCTTCTTTTCTCTCGCTATTTTCTTCTCTTCTGGTTTTCACATTCTCATGCTTTTTACAATTCCCGCTTTTCTCCGAAAACAAACAAAACAAAAACGCTTTTGAGTTAGCTCATTGAATAGTGTTTCGCGCGTTCTTCCCAAAATTCAGTGTTTTCTGAGTTATCATTATTTGTCTCAACCTACTTCAATGAATGTGTTCCAAGTAACCGTCTCTTTCTTTCAAACTCTTTCACAATTCATGATGTGAAGCCTTCAAGGATGATCATAATTTCTTCACTTTCTTTAATCACAATCTTTAATTTATTGAAAATTTTGACTTAATAAGACAACAGAAATGCTTAAATATTATTTTCCATTTCTGCTTATCACATTATACACGCAGGTTTTCTTCTATATAAGAAGAACCTACATCTCTCAATCCATCAAACAAAAAATACTATTGCTGTGTGACAATGGTCCACTTCGTCGAACACGACAATGCGAGCTCTTCTTCTTCACCAACACGTGCTGAACAGCCTCAAGGTTTTACTGAATATGGCAGATTTCCCTCTAGACTCCGAGGCATAAGGACTCGTGGCCATGGAAAGAGAAGGATCAGACATTGGAGCCCAGCCCCAAGAAGGGCTCGTAACTGGAATGTGGCTGATCATGACACAACTACTTCTGTGGAAGAAAAAGGTTGTTTTTTTTTTTTACTTCATTTTAATAATGTTTATCTGTTTCTGAAACCTACTCATGCAAAATGCAGTTCGTGTGCTAGAAATACTTTCTGATGCGAATTTATTTTTGTATATAATAGATGATACTCCGGCGTTCAATGAAATTGGTCTAGATCATGTTTTAATATCGATTGTGAAATGTCATGCATGTGATTTTGACATTGAAGTTTCCTTGCGTTGCGGTTGTTCAGAAGAATTTGATGCAAATAATATGGTATGCATGACCTCTTAGATTTCAGAAATTTATGGCTAGCAGAACTTATTGATACAGGATTTATTTTCATTTTTGTTAGATTTGGTTTCCTTTTTATACTTTGATTAATTGATAACAATGCCTTTGTTATAATTGAATTTTGATATCTCAATGCCTGCTTCGCTGTTCCTATATCAGATTTGTCCCGCGTGCGATGAGAAGTTTGGGGAGGATGCAATAAGGACTGTGCAGAATTCTAGCGTTGCAATTACGCATTCGGTATCTTTTGCTTATCCTGGGATTAATGCAATTCAATTGTATCATAGCTCAATTCAATATGTTGATTTAACAACGTATACTTTCTACATAGCGCGCTTGGCCTGCTCTGAATCCGGGGGAAAAACCTGCTCTACGGGAAAACAAACACGAAAGAATGTTCGGTTCAGATTTGTCACCATCTCAGGACAATCTTGATGGTCTAAGCTTCAATGATTTCAGTTCGGAGGAAGATGACATGTCCGATGCCTCAGATGTTACTGCTGCAAAAGGCGTTTCCATTGAAAAAAGGTAGTACACTTATCTCCATCTATATGTTGTAATGGTGCTATACTGGTAATCACACATTCCAAACATTTATGATTTAAATATTAGTTGTATTTTGAGTAATTTATACACAGTATTAAGGTATGCTATATTGTTGTATCAAATTAGCTATTGAAATAAGTTTTATGACAGTATGTTTTTTAACACACTCAATACTGAAATTTTGATGATGGTTTTATGCTTGCAGCTTTGTGGCGGCAGATGCACCGAATACTGGCGGCAATGAAGGCAATGAACAGGATGTTGAAGAGAGAAGTGACAGGGCTGCATATTTTCAAGAGTTGTTTATGTCAGCTATATTCTCAGAATGATTAATAGGGAAATAGTTTTGATGGTTGTAAAATTTACAGTATTAGGTTTGATTCTGGTGCATGAGTTATTATTATATGTTAATAACAAAACTTTAGCATATTGGATTGCTATGCTAGCGAATTGGATGGTTGGCTCTATTTTGTTTACTGAACAATTTAAATATTTTCATGACAGAATTTAGAAATATGAAATGGAAATCAAATTAGCTAGACTTAATTGATGTTTCGGGTGGTGGTGCCAAGTTAGACTTTGAAAGTCTGGTTTTTGTTGTTTAAACTTTAAAATGTTGCAACAGGGTGGAAATACAAATGGTGAGCAACAACGCTCTTTGAGAGATTACAACTTACAAGGTAACAGTTTATCCAGTATCTAATAGCATGGGTTTATTGAAAAAACAAAGTAATATCTGTGATGGGAGTTGTTCCGTAGTGGGACCATAAATATGCGGGGATCCGATGGACTTGAGTTATGATGCAATAGTGTGTTTTTTGTACGATGATAGAATCAACTTAGTATCTTAAGTTCAACAAACAGAAATAAAGAGAATCTAGTAGGAAAGTTCTGATTTTTATTAAAAAGAACTAGAGCTCATATGGGATCTAGTTGTACAATCTAGCAGAAAAAGTGCAGAAAGACTGCAACAGTATGTAGAGGAAATAAAAGAGGATAGAGGCACTTAGAGAATAATCTCCATCAAATTCTGCGTACCACAAATGATTGAGTGCTCCATCATTTATTGACTCACTCCTAGATTTTATTACCACTCAGCTGTTGCCAGCTGTCCAGCCCATGTGCCACTACTAACAACTTTCTTTCGTAAAATCTCTCATACCTACCAACTCCCCCCTTCAAAACCTTCCTTGACCTCAAGGAAGAATGTTGGAAATTCCTCTTGTAACTTGTCAGCTAATTCTCAAGAATTCTCAAAATTTGGAAGATTTTTCCATTTCACCAATACTTCCCAATTCCACTGTTCATTCCTCTTGTAATTCATCACTTTCTCTGGCATAGGTTATAAGTACCACTCTTCATTCATACAATCTAGTAAAGGTTGAGATTCATCAGATAGCATAATAGCTTTTTTTTAATAATGAGGCATGGAACACAGGATGCACCCTTGTGTCTTCAGGAAACTTAAGCTTATAAGCCATAGCTCCAATTCTTTGAATTACTTCATAGGGTCCATAGTATCTAGGACTGAGCTTTTGATTCAATCTCTTGGCTAACTTCTTCATCTTATAAGGTTGAATTCTTAAGAACATCATCTCCTCTACTTCATACTCCACTTCCCTTTTATGCTTGTTAGCTTGGCTTCTCATCACACTTGAGCTCTTAACAGCCGCTCTTGCAATTCTTTTATCATCAAGTTCCTCTCCATTGTCAATTTACTGACTTCATCAACAGTAGATCCAGGGGCATCTCCTCTAACTAGCACATGAGGAGTTCTCCCATATAATGCCTCAAAAGGGGTGGTTTTCAACGAGGCATGATAATTGGTGTTGTACCAATATTTTGTCCATACCAACCACTTAGGCCATTGCTTAGGTTTCAGCCCAGTCACACACCTCAAATAAGTCTCTAAGCATTTGTTTACTACCTCTGTTTGGCCATCAGATTAAGGATGGTAAGCACTACTATACTTCAGCTTAGTCCCTGCCAGTTTGAATAGTTCTGCCCAGAAATTGCTAAGAAACACTTTATCGCTGTCAAAAACTATGGAACTAGGTGTAGCGGTAAAATCAATGAAGTCGCCACCAAGTATTTATTTATCCCACATAAAGGGAAAGGAAAATCATTGAAGAAAAATCTGAAGGGAGAAATCAAGGTCTTGCGATCGAGAGATCGGGTACGGGATATGATTACGCGAGGGGAAGGTATTAGCACCCCTCACGTCCTTAGTACTCTACGGAGTCCACTCTTGTTGTTCTAATCAAAGGGTGTGTTCAAATCTAAAGCTTAAGAGCTAAAAGAAAAATGCAAAGAGGGAATGCATATGCAAAAGAAAACAAACACGGGGAAAAGAAAAAAATATTTACAAAGTTTCACTCAGCTGAGCCCCGTGACCAGATGGCTACATATCCCCTTTTAGGAATCAAAGCGTCATAGTTCGGCTCAATAGCTTTGATGGGTTGCAATGTTTTTTATGGATAATGCCATATTCGCACCCTTGCAGTTAGGATTGCAACTTGTGCTTGGTGTTGCAGCTCATAAAGAGACTCATACTTGACCACTTGCACACTTAGCATTTACAGGTTTCTCGAACTTGAAACAACATATCCTTATCGAAAACGTTTTAAAAGAAAAAAGTCTGAAGACAAAATTGATTTGCATTGGTTAGTATTTTTTACCTTGAAAAAGGGTTTAGGGAAATTAGAGTGTTTTACGAGTTTGTCAATGAAAAGCGTTTTAGTTTTAATGCAAGGATGCAAAGAGGAAAGAAAAAAAAACCAAGGGAGACTAACCTATCTCTAACCTAGTGTTATCATACAATAATGATCCTATGTCGAGGATCCAAGGGAAACATCTATCTGAGTTGACATACATGGATAACTATCCTAATGTCTAGCTCGAAAGCCATCCTTAATTGAGAAATCTTAAGGGAACATGACATATACAAGGATGGAAAGCAAACAAGCAAAGCTCAATTAGCAAATAAGTGCGGAATACATGCTACAGGTCTTTAAACAGCGACTTCGAGCGCATGCTCTTTATTATTCTACTTCTCATGATATCTAGAAAGCAATAAATGCAGAAGGATAAATTGGAAGCAGTATAATACCAAACAAAAAATAATATCCGCAAAAAGTGCAATCAAAGCGAAGAAACCCGGAATACTTCGCGCGAGCTAGCATCAACAAACAAACAGTCAAAGATCGAATGCTCGAAATAAGTGTTGAGGCATCAGCGATGTGAAAATAAATCACAACCAGAAACTCAAGTGTATCCGCATATCGCACAATAAACCTGCATAAGACTCATATCTCAACAAATAACGGTGATCACAAAATCTCGGCAACAAAATGATCACTAAACATAAACAATAACAAAAATTCTAATCAAAATTCCCGAAGAAAAATCCTAAAATATTCTAAAATTCAATACTATTTTTTTTTGAAGTTTTTCATTATGTATATTTTATTATCAAAATCATAGAAAAAAAACTAAAACTAAAATGTTATGAAATAAAAAATAAGAGAGTCATGGGGGTGCAATCCAGAATTAGCTGGTGTGCTAGCAAAAACAACATCAGGCACTGAGGCCCACTAACACTGATCTGAAAACATTTTTGTTTTGCAAAAGCTTCAAACCAGAAAAAATGGTGTATTGGGCCAGGCCACATACAATTCAGTCCAATTCTCCTCTCAATCGATCCACTGATATATCCACCACTAGTTTTCTTCTAATCCCAATTTTATTCATTAAACATTATTATCTATTTTCAGTATATTATTTACTTTAAAAAAAAGAAATAGAAGAGATCAAACAAAAGAAACTGAAACGTTGCGTTTAGTCAAATAACTATTTGTATCTCAAACTCAGTTTCTCTCTTCCTCTTCACAACTTGCGATTTCCGGCGAGACAAACCGCCGACCAAACCTCCGTGGATCAAGAACTTCCAAACACCAATCCTACCTGAAATTAACCCCCGAGTCTAAACCCAAACTTAATTTTCGTCAATTCTTTTTCATAGTCCTTCCTCTAGATCAACGTTCGAAAACCCTAAGTATCCTCGAAAATGGAAATTAACTGGTAATATGCGTGCCTCAGGGATCGCTCGAGTTGGTGGTTATGATGAGAACTTGTGTGAGTTTGAAGAACCGCGGTTAAGATGCTTCAACGGTGAAGGAAGTTCAGATAGATGAAGGTAGAGCGAGGTTCATAGTGAGAGAGGAAGAAGAACGAAGGTTAAAGAAGGTTGAAGATGATAATTCTTTAAGAATCTCATAGAGATTCAGAGGTGAGTATTTTGTGTTTTTGGATCAAGTTTGAAATGATTGTGAATGTGCAACTAGGATATGCTTAAAGGTTTAGCAAAATGATGGACAAAATGTTTTGTACGAAAGTGAATGTATGGAGTTTTGGAACCTTGACATTTGTACTTGAACTTGGACAATTAGATATTTGTTGTACACTTTGAATTGTAAACTTGAAATTGAACTTGCGTGATTCCCGATGAACATGATATGGATATTAAAAACTCTCGATCAAATGTTGACTTGTAAAGTGAATTTGAAATTATGAATTCGAACCACAATATTGAATTTTCTCTTGAAGCATGAATACCTTTGATAGAATTTTAAACTTTGGATAAGGCCTTAAATTCCAAGAAACATGAATGCTTGAATCATTTAGACTTTCAAATTCTTGTACATGATTGATGTGTCTTGAACTCCAAACAAATCCCATGAGTGAGCCTAAACTTTTTGAATCAATTATTGAGAAAATTGAAATGCGTTTGAAATTAACGACTTTGAATTCAACACAAACTAGAATCATGAATTCTCTTGAATCGATCCTAAAGGGAACACTTCAAAATAATGAATCTATTCTCTACTTCCATCCTAAAATTCAATTCAACTTGCAAACAATCAAGAAATTGAAGAGATAACAAGACTTTGATCATAAAAAATCCTCAAACTCCTGCCATGCTTTATACTAGCTCTTTAATCAACAAAATATCGTGCTGAAAACCAAAAGCCACACTTAATTATTTAGCAAGTATCACCACAAGAAGAGAACCATGATTCAATCTTCTAGACTTCTTGAAAAGAAATGACTCATAGAGCAAGTAATTAAGGGAAACTCTACATGATTAATGAACTTGCAATAAAGAAAGAACGATGATCCTTGGTGGTCTATAGGAGAAACTGATTTCAATGAACTATTTTGAGTAATCAACACTAATGTCCAAGCACCTTCATAAGAGAAATCTCCTAACTTCTGGATCTTGAGTGCATATTTGTGGAGAAGGCTTGAGATGTGGAGAGAAGTAAAACCC